ATGGGTCCCATCTGGCCAAAACTTTTGCAATGCCGGATGTGGTACTGGCCATTGAACCCAGGGACACTCTACCACTGAACATCTACATTCCAGTCTCTAAAAAAAAAAAAAAAAAAAACAAACAAACAAACAAAAAAACCACACTGGTGGGAGGCAGTACTAGGATTGAACCCAGAAAAGCTTTGCCACTAAGCTATATCTTCATTCATTCTTATTTCTTTTATTTAGAAACAGGGTGTTTCTAAATTGCTAAGAGTCTCACTATATTGTTAAGACTGGTCTAGAACTTGTGATCTTCCTGTCTCAGCCTCTTGAGTAGCTGGGGTTATAGGTATGGGCCATTGTGCCAAGATAAAAAATGTTCTCTTTGGTTTTAACCTCTTGCATGTAAGTCCAGTTCTTTGCTGCCTCCCGAAACACACATCTTGTTCCTCAAGACTTGTTTAACATTTGGACCAACTTGCATGAAATTTTTGGATATATTGAGACATTTGTGAAACAATAAGACCTCTCACATTTGGAAGGTAGAGTATTTCTAATGATTTAGGGGAGTCTTTCTAATGGTATTTGTGTAACTTTCCACTGGCTGTAATGAAACGTTGCCACTGATTAATAACTTAGGCAAAGATGTAGCCATTTCTCATTCTTGGCCACCTTTGGTCTTATTTCTATGAACTGTCTTTTCTGACTTTTCCTGATGTTGCATTTACCTATGATCATACTCTCCCTTGCACCCTGACTACTTTGTCCCCACTCAGATGGTTATTTAACATTATAAAAATTTTAGCTGGGTGTGGTGACTCCCAGTGACTTGGGAAGCTGGAGGTGGGAGAATTGCAAATTCCAGACCAGCTTCAGCAACTTGGTAAGGCCCTAAGCAACTTAGTGAGATCCTGTCTCAAAATAAAAAATAAATTAAATAAAGACTGGGGATGTAGCTCAAAGATAAAATACCCCTGACTTAAAACACACACACACACACACACACACACACACACACACACACTTGTATATATATATATATTTTTTTCTTTTTGCTTCTTTGTGTATGTGATAATCCTAGCCACATTGATTTTGTTAATCTTTTAGAAGAATCAACATTTTGTCTGGGGATGTGTCTCAGTGGTAGAGCATTTGATTGCTTGATGGGCCTGCATGAGGCCCTGGGTTTGATTCACAGCACTAAAAAAAAAAAAAAAGAGAGAGAGAGAGAGAGAACCAGCCTTCAGTGTTAGTAGTTTTTCTGTTTTTTGTTTACCTCCCCCTCTAATCTTTATTATTTCCTACTCTTGCCAATTTCGTTTATTCTCCTTTTTCTAGTTACTTGAACAGTAAAGTTAGGTTATCAATTTCTTTCTTTTTTATAAGCATTTTTTAAAAAAAGTTTATTTTATTTTATTTATTTAGTTTTATGTGGTGCTGAAGGTCAAACCCAGTGCCTCACACGTGCTAGATAAGCAATCTGCCACTGAGGCCCAGCCCCAGCCCCTTGATTTTTTTTTTTAATTGCAAATAAAAAGTTTAATTTCTCAGAAACTGAGTTCATCATTTATAAATAAATAAATAAATAAAGCATAGTCCATTCAAATTTAAGTTATAGTATTTCAACAAATTGACAACTTTCTTAAAAGGTCATAGGCAGATGAGTGATTTGTCTCACCCAGAACACTAAATGATTTGAAATGAGAAAAAATGAACATTTTTTTTTTTTAATTTTGAGACAGGGTCTCACAAAATTGCCCAGCCTGGGTCAAACTTAGAATCCTCCTGCCTCAGCCTCCTCAATAGCTGGGATTACAAGTGTGCACCACAGTGCCTGTCTTCTGTTATTAATTTCTAACTTCATCCCATTGTGGTCAGACAAGATACTTTATATCTTATTTATTTATCTATTTTTTTTTGGGGGGGGGTACTGGTATTGAATTCAGGGGCACTCAACCACTGAGCCACATCCTCAGCCCTATTTTGTATTTTATTTAGAGACAGGGTCTCACTGAGTTGCTTAGCGTCTTGCTAGCTGAGGCTAGCTGAGGCTAGCTTTGAACTTGTGATCCTCCTGCCTCAGCCTCCCAAATATCATTTATTTTTTTAAAAAAGATTGTAAATTGGCTTGACATCTAGGCAGATGAGTGATTTGTCTCACCCAGAACACTTAATGATTTGAAATGAGAAAATGAACTTTTTTTTTTTTTTAAAGATGTTAATATTAGAGAAGTCCCATGTGCACTGGAGATGTCCTGTGTCTCCTGATTTACCCTATGCTTGGCTGTTTTATACATTATTGAGAGTGGATTATTGAAATCTCCAACTGATACTGTAGAGATATTTCTCCTTTCAATTCTGTCAGTTTTGCCGCAAATATTTTGATGGTCTGTTATTAACTGCATAAATATTTATAATTGTTTTATTAATATATACTCTTTGTCTTTTGCAACCTTTTCTGATTTAAAAGCCTGTTTTTTTTCTGATATTAATATAACAAATCCTTTTCTCTTGTTTACTATTTGCATGAAATGCATTTCATTTTTCCAAACCTTCTCTTCTCTCTCTCTCTCATCACCACCTTCCGCCCCTCTTTTTGAAAGGAGTCTCACTATGTTTCTCAGGCTGATCTCAAACTTCTGTTCTGGGCCCAAGTGATTCTCTGCCTCAGCTTTCCAAGTAGCTGGGACTACAGGTGTGGGTCATCTAGCCCAGCTCACCCTTTCACTTTCAACCAATTTTATACCTTGGAATCTAAAGTGAGTCTCTCAAGGCCAGCCTCAGCAATTTAGTGAGGCCCTAAGTATCTTAGAAAGACTATGTCTCAAATTGTTTTAAAGTAAAAAGGGTTGGGGATGTGGTTCAATGGTTAAGCACCCCTGAATTCAGTCCCCAGTACTACTACTACCACTAATAATAATAATAATAATAAGAAGAAGAAGAAGAAGAAGAAGAAGAAAATCAAATAAAAATAAGGTGAGTCTCTGGGAGAGAGGAGGGATGGGGAAAAGAGAATTATAGAATGAATTTGACAAAACTATGCTATGTACATATATGATTATTACTACAGTGAATTTCACCCTTATGCATATTTGTAAAGCACCAATTTAGAAAAATAATAAAGAAATAGAAGAAAGACCAGTAGAGCAGAGAAAAGGGACAGAGGGGGGGACAAAGGGAGTAAAAAAGGAAGCAGTGGGGTCTGAAATTGATGCATGTATAATTATATCAAAATGAATACCTCACTATTTTGTATAACTATAATGCACTAATAAAACTCACTTTATTAAAGTGAATTTTAAATATGATATGTCAAGAGCTTTGTAATGTTTTGAACAACTAATAATAAAAAAAATTTTTTTAAAATAAAGTGAATTTTAAAAAAATAAAGTGAGTATTTTGTAAATGATATATATTTGAATTTTTTTTTTTTGGATGCTGAACCCAGAGCTTCAGGAATACCAGTCAAGTCCTCTACCACTGAGCCTGAGTCATATTTTTTAATCCAATTTCTGTTTTTGGATTGGATAGCTTAATCCATTTACATTTGAAAGGTTTACCAATAAGAAGGAATTTAATCACACCATTTTGCTATTTTTTTATATGCCCTTAAGCTCTTGTTCTCTTGCTCTCTCTCTCTCTTTCTCTCTCTCTCTCTTTTTTTTTTTTTTTTTCTTCCTGCCTTGGTTTCTTCTTTTGTGTTTAGTTTACTTTTTTGTACTGAAAGATTTTAATACCATATATATGGAATTTATGTTCATACACACACACA